TGGACGTATCAAAGCAATTTATAAAAAAAAAATTAAAATAAAACAGTGTAGAGACGTGACATTGTGATTGGGACAATCTTAACTTTCCATTAAAAAATGGGCAGTTGGATAAGGGGGAGGATAGAACTTCTATGTTGTAGGGAGAACATAGAAAGCTTTTCCTTGATATATTGGAACACAAACTCAGTGGGAGTATGGTTCTATTGGACAGAAATAGGCAAATGCTATTTTGCAAATACTCGGACTTTACTTTTTTACATACTAGGCCAATTGACTTGGAAAGCTTTCAATTACTTGGGCTAAGTGCATAACCGATGAGGGTAACGCAAGGTCATCTTTTGATGTCGTCAGAGTTGCTCAGGGTAGAGAGCCAAGGAACTATGTGACTCTTGTATGTGATGGAAGGTGTGTAGACATGAGGGTCAAAACTCTCATCATCGAACCATCACATGACATGTACATATGATAGTCGTATTGAAAAAGTGAATCACCACTAAAGGTGATGCATCTACATGTGCAAGAGATTACCCCTATATATCATATAGTTGTAGTTGCAACAAGTCTATGTGACTTAGAACTTGTCTCTAGGGGATAATATGTAATCCATTGGCTAAGATTGTGTCACATCGCTGGCTTTGGTGGCCCAATCATGAACTGTTGCGATGGTTTCTAGTGTTATAAGAACCGTTGAGTCAGTTTGAGAAAATAATATGTGGGTGCTGGGAATCGCTTGGCCAGTTTGAGAGAGTGAGTATGGATTATAGTCTATCGTAAAACATGGAGTGCTTCAGCAATTTTATAATTCATTGACCTAGTTGGATCCGATTCATAAAAAAAAATATTTAGAATTGAATATTTTGATGTTAAATGACTTTTATATAGATTATTTGAATTTTTAGAAGTCTCATAATGTTTTATTTTCATAAAATGGATTCATAACCATTGAAATCGTGGGGCCCACATAGGGGCCAATGGGTCGCACGCCCACACTATGGGGGCTTCTCTTTCTTATTTTGAAAGAGGCTATTTATGACACTCAATTAAGTTTTAAGAAAAAATGGTAAGTTTGAAATTAATGAGGTTTGATTTCAATCAAATATTATAAGTAAGAAAATTGTGAAAAATAAACAAAAGTATGACATTACTTTTTATATTTTATTATTTGATAAGAATTAGGTTTAGGAAGCTGAAAGATAAGATTTTAACACCTTTCTTTGAATCATGATGACTGATCTAATGATTGAATAGCTCAAATCTCTCACCTTACAAGTCTTATATGAACAATGGTTTAGATTTAATATCCATAAAGACGGTTAACCCGAGGAAACCATAACCTTAAAAAAAATCTATAAATGGGGGCTCTATCTCCACTAAATATATACACTATTATCTACCTCTCTCTTTCTCTCTCCTCTAAGTGTTGCTTGCCACCCTCTCACCTCTCTCTATCGTCTTTCTAAGATATCTCTCTCTCATCTCTCCCTTAGAAGTTAGAGAAGAGGGCCATGCCCCATGCTAAGTGCAAGAGGGGGTACGCCCACTCCCATAGGGCATTGAGGCCTTAGACTTTATGATGTTATTCCATTGCTTTCATATTACTTAAAGGTTGTAGCTTAGGCTTTCTCATACTTCAAAGGTTTGAGATAGACCATTGATCCCATGCACAATTAGATGAGGAGACCCGAAGTAGGATGTACTAAATTCGGTTGAGGTATCTTTTGCTATCTTGCTTTGTGCTTTGAAGTATTATGTTTTTTTATGATTTCTTATTCCCATAAGCATTATGTCATTTTTTATTATTCAATAAGAGATATTGCTATTAGTGGTAGTAAGTGAGAATCTTTTTTAGTTGTTTATTTGTTATATTTTGAGTTCATTTAATTGTATTTAGACCTTTGTAAGTTTTTTTTCTTAAAAAAATAAATAAATAAATATATATATATATATATATATATATATATATATATATTATATACTACCACGTACCGTATACTACTACGTTACCGTTACTTAACCGTTACTAGTTAACGTCGT